CCAATTTAAGCTGATAATACACATTTAATGCGTTGCTGGCTGTTGCAATTCAAAACAAACAAACAAAAAAAGCTATTAATAACAATTACGGAACCTACAGTGGATTTTTAAAAAAAAAAAAATTGTTTTTTTTTTTTTTTTACCTCTTTATGTTAATTGGACACTATTTCGTGGATTTTCGTTTATCGCGGGTGGTTTTGGTCCCCATTAACCGCGATAAACGAGGGATTACTGTATATGGTTATTGCAGTTTAATTTACTTCTTGTAGCGGCCTGTAATCTCTGCCCACTTCCGTGAAGGTGGACCAGCACATAGTTTTCAGGGGTGTGGTGAGCATCGGGAATTTTAGATTAAATTTTTTAAATTAAAAAAAAAAAAAAACATCTGAGTTTTGTGTCGTTTGAGAAGCAGCTGGGGAACGGCTCAATGCACAAGCAGTCTCTCTGCCGTGGCCACGTCATAGCGCACTATGGCTAGGCACAATTCCGCTGACGGCCCGGTATCCCTGAAGGAAAAATTTTCCAACTCCATAGTGATGCCCAAACACCTTGCGGCCATCCAGCGAGCACTCTGGGAGTGACTGACATCGTTTTGTTCGCACTGCTGTTTGTTGTCAATAAATGATCACTTCCTGCCCAATTCAGGGAAATGAGATCATTTCCCAAGGTCACGGCAAAGAGGTTGGGGATTAGTGCTGTAAATGGATGCTGATTCCTCTTCTTCTTTTAAATATGCAGGCAGCACAATGTCTTGCTGGAGTGTCACTTGTCAGTCTAGGTCTGATGTTCTATCAGAGTGACGCTGACATGCTCCTGATCTTTCCTAGCATTCTGGTAAATTCACTCTTATCCCTTTTTAATTTATTTTCAAATGATATGCGCTAATTGGTGATTTTTATACTTGGTTTTTATGTTTTATCAATGTTAGTTTGTGCTCTGTGGAATGCTGACCTATGCGGCAGGATGTGTCCCCAACATGCGTGTGGTAAGTAGACTCTGGGAAAAATGGTCTTTAATTGTGTTGTTTTATAAGTGTTGCTTTGGATGGCAAAGATGTTTTTGACGGGGTTTGTGGGTTTGAGGTTTTGTTTTTTGTCCCCCCTAGACCAAGGTGTCCTTCTGCCTGAACATCATCAGCCTCATGGAGTCGGTTGTGTTACTTTGCCTCTTGCTGCTCGACCACCGCTTGTTTCAGGAGGTTACTTCACACGAGCTCAAGGTGAGTTTAATATTTGTATTTTTACTTCTGGCTGGAAGGCTCAAAATGAGATTTCTCTCTTTCTTTCCCACAGCTGCAAACAGGAATCAAAGCAACGGCTGCAGGCCTGCTTGTGGTTCAATGCTTGATTGCCTTATTTCTGATCTACTGGCAGAGTAAAGCCGTGTGCAGACAACATTTCAACACGCTGGTAATGTTGCCTTACATTTGATGCGCTTCACCGTCAAACTATCTAACTTCAAACAATCAAACTAATGCTGAGCACTTTTACCTGCAGCCCATTGTTCAGATGAGACTGGAGGATTAACAGGCTGATGCAACAACAACCTAACAAGATCAACGGACTTCTTTTGAGTAATATTATTAGCTCATCAGTGTTGTCACCCGACAACGTATGGGTGTATATGCCATCATTTATTCATATTTTCTTGTTGTAATATTTTTTTTTTTTAATTGTCTCCAGACAAGTATTTCTTATATGTTTTTGAATTTGTTTTACATTACATTAATTAATCATTCAAAACTAAAAACAAATGTATGTTGATGGTTCTTATAAAATCAAGCATTGCCTTGCACTGTATAATTTTTGAAGGGACTATTCTCTAATTAGATAAATCAAGACAAAAGGAATGAAAACATTTTAACTACCACTTGGGAAAAGGATCCAATTAATGCAACACATACTAAAGGACTGTTGATGATGTAAATGTCGGTGGGCCGGATTGCTGAACGGATCGGGCCGCACGTGGCTAGCAGGCCACATTTTGGCCCAAGATTTTGTTTATCATGCAGAGCAATAAACAACCACTAGAGGGAAACAAACACAGAGAAACGTCAAGGCGATTTCCCTTGCAGAAAAACTGGGTGTTTTCATTGAAACTTCATTCGACATTCAAATGTTATTTTACGTGTTTTTTTTTCTCTACGGCGTGATTGTTACATGGGTGATGTAATTTAGAAGATTTCTGTGTGTCGTAAGATCAGATTCAAAACAAACATTCCAGCACGTGATGGAGAACAGCGAATAAACTCTACCGCTTCTCAGGGACACTCCCTGCTACGTTTACGCCAATCAAAACTCATCATCAGCCTCCTGTTTTCGTTTTTACTCAGCGTTTCCTTTCTAAGACGTCATACTTCCTACTCGTACGCTATCTATTACAGTAGTGATGTGTGTTTATTCCTCCCATTACGTTTGCCTTCGTATGGCTGGCTAAGCGCCCCCGGTGCCGTTTGGGCGAGGGGGCTTGGAGCCGACCGCTGCTCCGCCATGGTGTCATTGTATAGCGGAGGGTCTCATACCCTGAGCAAGGATGACGTGAACTACAGGATGCATTTCCGAATGATAAACGAGCAGCAGGTTGAGGACATAACGATAGAGTTCTTCTACCGGCCGCACACCATCACGTTGCTAACTTGCACGGTGCTCTGTCTGATGTATTTCGCCTTTGCGAGGTAAGCATGCTCGGGGGAAAAAAGGTTAGCTCGGGAAGCTAGCAGGTGGCTAACAGTGACTGTGATGCTCTGATTGAGTCACGGTCACAGCTTATACTTCATATTCTCTCAAACTAAGTCAACGAAATACATGTCATTGGGGTGAGTTGTTACACGGTGGCGCTTTTAAACTAGCTTTGAAAACCACAAACGTTGCTTTTAACGGAAATGAAAGGATGCCGTGTCTCCATTTGCAACAAACGTCCACAATAATGGAGTGTTCCCCCGCTCTACGGCGGCCCCGCTATATCGTGCGCGCGCGCGCGTGTGTGTGTGTGTGTGTGTGTGGGTGTGTGTGTGCGTGTGTGTAACGTATCGACCTGTCGTTTGCAGAATGTTCAGTTTATCACATTTTCTTGTTTTTTTCTTAGGGCAGAACAATTATTCAAATTCATATAAATCACATCTAAAAGTTCCCCTACAAAGTATTTTTTTAAAAAGCTTTATATATTTTTGTAAACATCAGTGACTAGAATCACTGACTTTATTTTAGTGTTAAGCCGAACCTATAAAACCAGAACTTTTATGTATAAGAAAACTGACATTTTTTTAATTGTTATAGAGGTTACTGTCTTGCTTGTGTACGTCTTCTTTTCCCTGCGAACCTTGCTAAATGAATAGTGCACACTCAATACTTCAAAAACCTAAACATAATATGCCTTGAGGTTGTCTGTTTTAACTGCTGGTTGAACAAATTGTGTTGGATTTACTTTTTTTTTAATTTATTTACAGAGATGATGGAAATCCTGACAGCAATCTTTGGGTTGGTTTGATTCTGGTGATCTCTTTCTTCCTTGTTATCAGTGTTTTGGCATTTCCCAATGGTGAGTTTCATATGACAAACCTTGTTTTGCTTAATGTCTTAACGTCTTTTATTTACCGTCATATATTTTATAGTCAAAAAATGTCACAGCACACCACCAAACAAATATGTCACAAAAGGTGTATACAGTACTGTTGACTGAAATAATGCAGATAGATATGGTTGCTGTCAGGCTGAGTCCTTGAATCTCCAAAACCACAACTTAAGGTAAAAGTAAAGTACGATTGAAACAACTAGCTTGAGATACCTTAACAGTATATGTATTGTTCTCATACTTAACGAAAAGCGACGACTGTAGTTACATAATCTTTCCATACTCTTATTTCAAAGATCCATGGGTGATGCAATAAAAAAAATAAAATAAAATACTTGTGTGCAAATTGATCAATGTTGCTGCAACAAAGCATTACAGCTATTGATGGACAAAATTGGCCTAAATCAAACTAATTTGATCCATTTCCATTCATTTTATTTGCTGTGAGTCTCCGACAGCGTGAGGAAGAGGAGTTAGAAACACACTTCAGACAGCTGAAGTGTCCAGTTGACTTAATCGATTTGCTCTAAGCTATTTTCAGCACTTTAGCTTGGTTCGTGAGTTAGAAACACACTTCAGACAGCTGAAGTGTCCAGTCGACTTAATAGATTTGTTCTCAATCTATTTTCAGCACTTTAGCTTGGTTCGTTGTTTGTAAATTTAACAAATGACGTGGAGACTGACCCAGACTAACGATTTGTGGGAAGAGAAAAATGGAATTCACCAAATTTGCAGATATAGCGTTTCGGCCCAATTGCGATATTTATGATAAGTTCATTTTACCTTCTGCCATCTTGTGGAAGGGTATTTAAATGTTCTCCCTGTCACTACACACTGCTGGCATAGCTAGATGAACAAAGATTCCTGACCAATTAAGTGAAATTGGATAATTTCACACAGCACACCTCATAATCTTGTGGCACAGTGATTGGGAATCAATCGTTTAAGTCAGTTGCATGTTTGAACACATTCGCATTACCGGTATTCATTTTCTGCAGGTCCATTCACTAGACCTCATCCAGCAATATGGAGAATAGTCTTTGGTAAGTACTGATGAAAGAATGACAGCAGTTTTTTTTTTTTGCAGTCCCACTTCCTCTTATCTAAAATACCTCTTTCTTGTTCAGGTCTGAGTGTGCTGTACTTCCTCTTCCTGGTTTTCATCATCTTCCTGAACTGGCAGCAGGTTAAACAGTTAATGTACTGGCTTGATCCAAACTTGCGCTATGCCCAGAGAGAGGCAGACATTATGGTGAGGATTGTAGTTTATTCGTGACAATACAGTGGAACCTCCAAAGTTGAATGCCGCAAAACTCATACAGTTCGGAGTTCAACCAAACCTCCTCTGACCGTTTCTGAAAGCAATTACCCTCATTTGTGTTGTGGATGAACTGGAGTCCATCCTGATCGCAGAGCACAATCTTAGTTTTTATTCATTTTAATTTTATTTCATTTGTAATGTGTTTTGAAAGTACAACAACTATTAAGTCAACCAGTGTCACGGATCTATTTCTGTTCCACTTTGGAGATTTTACTGGAATAGCTCAATTTCATTCTACAGTATCTGTTAGCAGTTGCTGAGGGTGTGTGTCCCGCTCCCTTTTTAGGAGTATGCAGTCAACTGCCATGTCATCACCTGGGAGAGAATTCTCAGCCATTTTGACATCTTTGCATTCAGCCATTTCTGGGGTTGGGGCATGAAGGCCCTCCTGATCCGAAGCTACGGCCTCTGCTGGACCATCAGTATTACCTGGGAGCTCACGGAGGTACTGCATCATGTCATATTCTACGTAGATTTTTGCATCTGTGAAGTTAAGTCTCACATGTGGTTCCTTCAGCTCTTCTTCATGCATCTGCTGCCTAATTTTGCCGAGTGCTGGTGGGACCAGGTGATTCTGGACATCCTCTTGTGTAACGGTGGCGGCATTTGGCTGGGCATGACGGTGTGCCGGTTTCTGGAGATGAGGACTTACCACTGGGCCAGTATTAAGTATGTCCCGAAAGTTGGAAATAACTGTATGGTGTTGTTTTCCAAACGTTTGTATTCCGTGGCCTTCTTCTTTAACAGTAGCAACAGACACATTGGTAGCTATACTGAGGTCTGAAATACAGTGGTTCCTTCAGATACAAAGATAATAAATATGTTCCGTGACTTCCTTCGTAACTCATAACATTCCCCATTGTAATGAATGGAAATGCCATTGATCCGATCCAGCCCCACACCCCCAAAAGGAAAACATTTTATTGTATTTTCTCCAGGAAAATAGCACTTCACTTCGTCAGCGGTAGACAACCCTTTTGTTTTTTTGTTTTGTTTTTTGTTTTTTGTTTTTTACCCACAGGTACAGATGACGACTGACAGAACCCTTTCTACGATTCAGATACAAAGATAATAAATATGTTCCATGACTTCCTTTGTAACTCATAACATTCCCCATTGTAATGAATGGAAATGCCATTGATCCGATCTTACCCCACACCCCAAAAGGAAAACATTTTATTGTATTTTCTTCAGGAAAATAGCACTCTCTACTACTGTGCTTCATAAAAACAAACAGTAATGACATTTTTAAATCTAAAGACTAAAACAGTTTTTGCCACATTATTTGCTTCAGTTCAATGGACATTGTGCTGCTTCTTCTGTTCTCGACCACCTGGGGGCAGTAAAATACAGACACAAGAAGACGGTCAAAAGCATTTTCCCCTGCTCGCGCTGAGGGCATATTAGATTAGGCTTTTACTGACTTAATAGGTTCATACTGTTGACGTATCACATACATATCCAATACCCATTGTAATGAATGGAAATGCCATTGATCCGATCTTACCCCACACCCCAAAAGGAAAACATTTTATTGTATTTTCTTCAGGAAAATAGCACTCTCTACTACTGTGCTTCATAAAAACAAACAGTAATGACATATTTAAATCTAAAGACTAAAACAGTTTTTGCCACATTATTTGCTTCAGTTCAATGGACATTGTGCTGCTTCTTCTGTTCTCGACCACCTGGGGGCAGTAAAATACAGACACAAGAAGCCGGACAAAGGCATTTTCCCCTGCTCGCGCCGAAGGCATATTAGGCTTTTACTGATTTAATAGGTTCATACTGTAGACATACATATCCAATTATTCTGAATTGAGAAGCAGTGTGATCATCAAATCAAATGGGGTGCTTGAGCACAAACATTTGCCAAACCCTGCAACAGACCATATTACTCAGCTGCGCTATCAACCAAGATGACCTTAAGCTTGAACGTGTTCCCACTAAGGATGAGATGTTTATTCATCACAGAATGGAAAGACAAGTCTGGAATAAGTGTGTTGGTGGCTTAATAATTACATTACTCAACACTTATTATAAATCCTTGGCATCCTTTCCTTGTGTCCCCCAACAGGGACATCCACACCACGACAGGGAAGATCAAGCGAGCCGTTTTACAGTTCACGCCGGCGAGCTGGACTTACGTGCGCTGGCTGGATCCGAAGTCTTCCCTGCAGCGAGTGATGGGCGTCTATCTCTTCATGATCATCTGGCAGGTGGGTCAAGGGGCCTTCCCGACGTCTCAACGGCGGCCAGCCGGAGATCATCCTGTGTGTTCAGTGTACTGAATCGGGGCTAATCTAATTGGCGCCTCCGTGGATGAAATCTAAAACCCGCTTCACTTGGATCCATTTAATTCACGGGGTGTGCTGCTGTCTGTGCATTAACAGCTAATCCCGTAAAGAGGCAAAGCCAGACTGGATTACTCGGGTGCAATTAATAAAGGAGGGTACGATTTTGAGTGCCGTCGCTTTGCATACCACCCAAGCTGCCTTCTCTTTCGCGTTTGTCTGCCATGGCAACACGCTGTGCGTCCCCTTTTATATGGACACTCAATGAAGCAATATCGTCATGCACTTGGCCGCACAGCTCTCCCCTCTCTGGAGGCTCCAAACAGTAATTACCAGTCTTGAAGAATGGATCAGGGAGGGAACGATGGCGCTCGGCCCAGCGGGCGGACAGTTGAGCTGGTTCGCTGAACGAGGCTGGCGGCCAAAGGAGAGAATAGCACCGCAGCAAGCCTTCACTCTCATTATGTTTGTATGGGAATGCGAGGAGCTAGCATAAAGTGATGCTCAAAAATACTGCTGTGTTTTGTAATGTTCTGCTCAATTCAGCCATCATCACAGCATATATTTGTGTTTCCTTGGGCTTTGTTGTCAACAAGTGAAAAATCTTACTAATATACTGTATGTAGCCAACCATGGAAAATGTGCTGAAGTCATCAAAAATGATCACGAATACGAATAATGAAAATTAGTTAACAGTTTTATTGTCACATTTTGTAATGTAAAGGAGAGCTTAACACATCCCAAAACACAACAGGAATTTGAATGTTTTGAGTTGTTTGTCCTACTAAAGATGTCATCTTGTTCTCTGATCTAGCAGTCAATCAAAAATGTCATGTCTTTTCCCACGCTTTCACAACAATTACAGTGAAGGAGAGTTGTCGCAAAAATGTACACGTAAAGTCAATAAATGGAGCCGACAGACGCTCAAATAACCACCATGGCACATATGTTGCTGTAGAAAAATCTCATGGCAGCCCAAAAAAAAGTGACAAAAAGTCGATATAGTGGAATAATGATTTTGTGTCGGTGGATTCACAGGTTCACTTGGTGTGAAATCTGGGTGTGTTTAGTTGAATACATAGCTGATATACTCACAGGGAGCCATGACTTATTCCATCTATAAATGGCAACGGGTGGCTTATTGTACCTTTTGCCATTTGGTGGAAGGGCATTTCATTCTTTCGTCTGTCACTACAGTCTGTTAATGGCACAGATAGATGAACAAAGATATTATTCGGTGTAAATGATCAAATTTACGACCTTGGAAAATTTCCCACGGCATTGGATGATCTCTAACGGTTACCTTGACTGTAAATACTGACTCAAGATTTATTGTGAAATAATGACGCAGCTTTGTAGTGTGCTATTGTATTAAATATCATTTATTGTCTCCTTCCCAGTTGACCGAGTTAAACACGTTTTTCCTCAAGCACATATTCGTCTTTCCGGCAAGCCACGCCCTCAGCTGGTGTCGGATCCTGTTTATTGGCATCATCACAGCGCCAACAGTCAGGTGAAACACTGTTCTGTCTAGAGGGGGGGAACATTTGCATCGGAACCATTCGGTATGGACGAGTACTGATACCAAGTGCCATATCGGGCCGATACCAGACGTATTTTGAGGTATCGGATACTCGTCGAGGCTGCTGATACCAGCAACCGATACTTAAAGCAAAAGAGGGAAAAGAAAAAGACATTAAGTCCTCTTCCGCAGTAGTTCGCTTTATACTATGGCTGTTGGGCACTTTGGCGAATCATCATGTGCGTCAGGAAAAAAAAGTATTTGCTCACATTTTTGTTATTTTTGTCATTGTGTTAAATTAAATTTCATGCAGTATATATCGAAAATACGGGAGGTATCGATACTCTGTATCCGTGAGTACTCAGAGTGAATACTCCTATATATGGGTCTGAAAAAAAATGGGATAGAACATCCCCAGTTACCTTATATCCAATTCTTCTCACTCTAACCTGACATTTTGTTTGCGTTTGCTACAGACAATATTACGCCTACCTCACAGACACCCAGTGTAAGAGAGTTGGGACCCAGTGTTGGGTGTTCGGGTAAGTGAGCCTTCCGCCACAAAGGACCTTTCATACAGTGAAACAAATGTGAAATGTTATCAAGAGCCCCTGCGAGCTTATTGAGGCTGAGAAATGTAGCAACGTTAAACCATGACGAATTGATTTCTCACCATAGCTGTAAGCCGGTTTGTTTCCTCACATTCCTATCAACACAAATCTCACAAACATTCTGGTCCGTAAAGCAGCACATGTTGCTTCTCTGTGAGTTAAGTCAACTGAAGGCGGTTGGGGATTTGTCATGTTGTGTTTGGGTTGTTCCTCTCATTTTGCCCAGGGCCATAGCCTTTCTCGAGGCGCTAGCCTGCATCAAATTCGGACAGGACTTGTTCTCCAAAACCCAGATCCTCTATGTGATCCTCTGGCTGCTGTGCTTGGTAAGATCAGCATCGACAGCACTCTTTTTGTTTTTGTGTCAATAGTAAACTAGTGCGGTCTGGTGCCGATAGTAACCTGTGAGCTTATTTGTGTCGCCTCTGTTTAATCTTGTGTCAAAACCTGTTTCTTGTGTGAACGCAGAGATATACATGCATTCGGAGTAATGTGCCTAGACAGGATTCCAGACGAAAGCAATACATCTGTGCTCTGTTTGGAACATCAAATAGAACAGACTGGTTCAGTAAAAATATTACAATCATTAGTAAGAGTCAGAAAAGAAATTATGTCATGCCATCACATCGAAGCACTTACCAGCAACCATTCCCATATTACTTTCATGTGCTCTGACATAATAACTCATTTTTCTTCTTTGGAAATAAAATGTCTTGTTAATTACCTTTGTTCTGGCTTTTCTGTTTTAGGCCTTCATTACATTCCTTTGTTTGTTTGGAATGGTGTCGTGCGCAGAGAACTATGGACCGAGAGAAAAGGTATATGCTTTGTTTTGGTCTGTTCGTCTATATATGGTCCTCAGGAGAAGTAGAAAAACATACCGGTATCTAAACAGCCATGATAATATATTCCAAAAAAGTGACATCAGCACTTTTTGTAGGTCAGGCCCATTTCATTATTCCCCTCATGAGTTGAGGGGCCGATCATTTACAGCAGCAAACATTTCCATGAGTGCAGTCACGCTTGCAAATAATTATTTGCTTTCATCCTGAGTTCACATCTTCTCTTTGGTAAAAACTTTTTGAGAAAATGCATTGGGTGGTTTCAGTGAATAAAGGGGCCAGAACGGGTCGCATTCCTTGTGCTCACAACAGCATACAGTAATTGTGAGGCCAAAGTGTGCACATCGCTGTTGAATATTACCCATCCATGTATTGCCGTGTAAAAGTGAAATACAGGAGCCTTTACTATTTGCTGTTGCCCTTTGTCATTTTCTTCATTTGTGCGTCGTCTAAATGTTGAGTCAACATAGCCAGCGTTGTGACTGAACATCCTCTACGCCCATTGGCTTTACCATTGCAGTTTTGGGATCCCATTCCATACTTCGTGCAATGCATTTTCACCCAGAGCTGAGCTGATCCCCCACCCATTTTTTTTTTCTTTTCCAGAAAAGGGACATATTAAAAAAATATTTGTCGAATCGGCAGGCATGTCCATGGCACCACTGGTTGTTGGGATGTCACTCCTATGTGCACATGTTGTGCACGCCTTCCATGACAGTTTACATACGGCGCATCTTGAAAATACATTGGTTTTTAAAATTTATTTATGTATTTATGTATGTATTTGTTTATTTATTTATTTATTGGGGAGGGACCAAATATTGAGGGGAGAAAAGTCATTTGCTCAACTCAAGGGTCACTTTTGATTCTTAAAACTGACGGATGAGCCAGCGCATTTGCAGGTTAAGTCCAAAGTAACAGTTAAAAAATTGTATGTAAAATGTGTACAAGAGTTTCTTTAAAATATTTATTGATTGATTGATAATACTTTAAGAGCAACAGAATTTGAGCAAGGCCTTACTCTCACAACACAGTAGTAGACACAGAATGTTAGCCAATCTTAACTATCCATTGAACCATTTTCTGTACCGCCTATACTCAGTCGGGTCGCCGTGATGCAATATCAAAGACCAGTGACTAAATAACAAATGTCATGGCAACTAACCTCCAACATCTGAATGATTAAGAACTGAAGCGTACTGCAAGGTCACCTCTGTGACAGTTAAGCTGCTGCAGAGATGATCTTTTGGTTTGCTAGGCAGGTAGTTGAAGGGCAAATGTGATTTGTCCGTTTGACGCTGTGTGTGTGTGTGTGTGTGTGTGTGTGTGTGTGTGTGTGTGTGTGTGTGTGTGTGTGTGTCGTGTGTATCTCCTCCCTCAGAGCTTGTCCGAATGTGAGGATAGCAATTACACAGAGTTTGCTGATGATGTGCCAGAGGAGTTTACAGGTACAATGAATTGTTTTATGTACTGTTAATCACGACTATTCAAGGGGGATTGGGAAGGAGCCCTGCTGCAAATAGGACAAATCCAGAAGTATTTCACACCGTGTTTATAAGTGCCCATTTGAATACTTCATACTGTAAATTTAGTATGCCACAAATGATACCCCAAATCTTTACATCTCATTTCACGCTCATCTTACATTACCCTTAAAAATAAATGGATTACAGATATTTAATTAAAAAAAAAAAAAGGAAAGTGCTGCAAGTGCATGTAAATGAACATGCGACAAAGACTCTCTGAAACAACCCAGGCTAAATTGATCTCCCTAGCATACAAAGATGGTTGTCTCAGTCAAGATGTATCACGTCAACATTCCACCAATTACTACTTTCCTATTAGTCAGCCCTTTTGTGCCATCTTGGAGTAAAATCCACCCATTTTTATATCCATCTTGGGATGGCCATTTTCCCACTTGCTGTTGACTGGCCTTGAGCGTAAAATCAAGTAGCTTTTGTTGCTTCATCCATATTCAGAAAATGCAGTATTCATCACCAATGCTGTATTTAGACTGGTGGTTGTGCGTAGGACAAAATATTAAGAACATTTTTGACATGATTTAAACATGTAAATGTATGAAAACACATTTTAAAATATCCCAAACTGCCTGCTCCAATGCTCTCACTGTAAAGAAATGGGAAGACTATCATATAACATCACTTGGAAGAAATGAAAAGAAGACTTTTCCTGCTCTCACGGTTCTCCAAATGAGAGGCAAAACACAGTTTTGTCAGGTCAGCGGGGCCTTCACGGAACTTGAAAAAAGACTCCATCCAAGTTTGACCTTAAACTGCTCGTGTTTCCATCTCTATTCTTGCTATAATGTTTGCATTCATGGTGAGAGCGTTGTGTGTTTCAGGAGAGACTGAGGTGGGAGGTGACTGCCCCAAAATCAGACTGAGAGGAAAGGGCTCGGGAAAGCTCAACTCCGTTAATGGCCTGGAGAGCCAGTAGCAATCACAGGAATAGGTTCCTAAACGCACCCAAAAAAGGTTCTAATGGGGGCATTAACTTTTCGGACGAGTCGGAGACCCCCCACCCCCCTCGCTCCCCTCCCCTGTCCTCCAGGAGAGACAACTGGTACATGCAGTGTTGTTCGAGCGGCACACCCATAACATGCTCTGCTCGTAAAAGCTCTAACACTACTGTTGACAGGTGTGTGTAAGTGTAAATACACGGTACGTGTGTTTGTGAAAAAGAGATGTAATAAATAACTGCCAACTTTTACTGTTAGCCGCATGCTCTGTGGAGTTGATCATTTACAGACAGACCTGCTCTGACGCACGATATCATTCATTCCTGCTCCAGACTATTTAAAGCCACCATGTAGAAATGAGAATGAGAATTGAGCCTCTGTGTTTCGGGCACAGAAATCATCAAATCTTTTTTTTTTTTTTCATTAGAAGGCGTTATCTGTTGTCAGTTTACAAACGTTTCACCAATGTACGTTGACACTGTTGGTGACCATAACTTGAATGTGGGCGGGGCATCACAAGAGCATTTTTGACCTGGAACAAAACAAAGCACACGTCTAACGCACTTTGCAGAAGGTTGGCTCTGAAGAACTGCACATTTATAATGTTGGGGTTATTGTTTGTGTTTTTAACGCCTCGTCGATTAATGGCTGCTATTTTGGTGTTTTGTTTTTTTGTGTGTTACCGCGATTGTAATGAAGGGTAAATATTTGAATTGTTCACCAGAGTACAGGATTGCCGGTAATCTTGTTACACGTGCATGGTTGCAATGTTACACACAACAACAAAGCAGCTACCCATGATGGCAGCATTTTTTCCCCCCACTGTCATTTTTAAAGCTTCATTTCACCTTTTGTGCCTGTATGTATGTTCCCTTTGTCTCAATTCTCTCCGTGTGCATGAAGACTAATTTGGGGCTTTGTGCGTTTCATCTTTGTTCATTAAAGATTCATTTGGGTTTCGTGCCATCGGCTCATGCAGTACGTGCACCTTGTGCAATAGCACCGCTGAGAACTAATTCACCAAATTTTGCCTACTCATGTTTGTACGAGCATTGTCATGTCAAGTTCACTTTTATGATTAGAGTCTTGCAGTTTTGTCCAGGTATACAAGCACGTTTGTCCTGAAGTTTGTGTGTCAACGTAGGTGGTCTGAGCAGATTACTGCAGTTGTGTTTTCATACGGCTCTTCCACGCAGCCATAACGGAGATTGCGCTTTTACACTTAATTAAATTTGTACTTTGACGCCTGTACCGTACTTACATTTATTGGGAATGATGAATGATATTTAAGTGATGATGCACCTCTAATTAACAATTCCTGACAAATCAGATTTCTGAGACCAGCAAATGGTGTCAGACAAAGGTTCCTGTCTATGGTACATGATTTTTTTCCTGGATACATAATACTGTATACGGAATTTGCCAAAAACAACGACATGGAAAATTACTTGTACCTTACTATATCACTGTGAAATAATACTGAACCACATTAAAATGTTTTACATGTTCTCAACAGACTCATTCTTTGCTTCATGCCAAGAAACTCACGTCTGAGGAAAACCAACCAGATAGAAGGCGATACTGATGAGGTGTGAAGTCACCTTTTGTCGAGAAAATGATTCATAATATAATGTTCTAAAGTAATTATTTTGTCACTTGATTTGGTGGTTTGCCAGGAGATTTGTCAATTGTGAAACATGTGCCTTGGCACAAAGGCAGGGGAAAACTGGTTTAGACAACCATTCACACTCAACGAGGATTAGAATAGTTTTAGATCTATCGTCAGTTTTAATTTCCTTTTGAAGTTTTTTAAAATTCAGTTTTAATTAATTTTAGAACAGGTTTGTTAGTTTATTTTTTTAATGCTTTAGTTTTTTAATTAGTTTTAGTATTAGTTTTAGTTTTTTTAAATATAAGGAGTATTTAGAGTATTCCAAGATAAAATTATGCTCAATAAGTATTATGTAATAAAGCTACAATTGCCAGATGACTTACTTTCCTTCTGTACTGGTATACAGTAACACCAAAATAGATAATTAAACCCTGAAAGCTCATGTCTTAATATGAAATGACATACAAAAATGAAGAACATCTCTGTAATTACAAAATGTAGTTTCATTTTTTTAAGCATTCCATGTCATTAATGAAAAGATTTTTTTCAATTTTAGCTTGAGTTCTTTCGTTAACTACAATAACCTTGTCAAACTCACACAATTGCGCAATATAGAGTCTTCACTTACTCTAACATGCATGCTTTGGGAATTTGGGAGGAAGCTGGAATACCAAAAAACCCCTCAGAAGCATGTAGAAAACATAAAACTTCACACAGGAAAGTCAAAGTCAATGGTGAACATCGGCATTGTGAGGTTGACATGCTAACCAGTCATCCACCATGCGAAAATAACTTCACAATAGATAAATGTCACGTTAGCAGACTGTGTTCTTGACAAAAGGAAATCACAAATGACCTTGAGCGACCTCTGAGGGGTGCCATGCTTCAGCAAAGAACAAAACTGGCAGACTCGAATACTGACTTGTTGAGATCCAATTTCACTGCACATCATGAAACTAAAATAGCTTCCTCGTGTCAAGTGGCATCGCGCCTCCATTGCAAGAAAATGTGACTTTGCGGTGAAGGGCAAAAGGCTTGTGGGATTGTGAAGTGGATTCACTTGGTGACGTTGGAATTTGGAGTCTCCTGGGAGGCGTGGTAAGTATCCCTGTTGCGCGTAAACTCCTGAAACTCCCTGTGATTTAAAACAGGAAACCATGTTTTCGGCTCCACGGGGAGGCAAAGTGTTGGATTGATATAAAATAGTGGTGGGAAAACTATAGCCCAGGGTCACATGCAGCCTGACCTTCAACCAAATCTTAATCTGGCCCACTGAGATTTTATATTATCACAAGACCTGCAATGTTTTCTGCAATTCCGTTTTTTTT